AAAAACCATTTCCATCAGTATAGACTGAGTCTGTACTGTTGGGTTACAGCAGCATAGCTACAGTGCCATAGCTATGCCGCTGTAGTACCCATGGTGGACACATGACCTCAGATTGGTAGTGGTATTTAAAAAGGTGCCTAAGTGAGTTAGGTTCCTAACCCCCATTGATTTCAGAGATCTGGACTTTGCTCTCCATCCAGACAGCTAAACCTTCATCTAGGTCCTCAACATCTTGAATCTTGACTTCTGCCATCTCCTCCTCCTGTCTTGCCTTGACAAAATACTATCCCTTTAAATCTATTCAAAATACTAATTTCACTGGGGCTACTCATGCACATAAAGGTACACACAGACTTAAATGCTCATACGATTAGCAGTCTAATTCACAACATTCAGGCTGATATTCTTTCAATCTCTGTGACTTGGCAAAGAACTAAATCAAAAGTAACTCCATGGCAGTCAACATGAATTGTGACATTTTACTCTATCTACAAATATCATTATGACGTACATATAAATTCCTCGTTTTATAATTATAAATATTTGTTTAAATTATCATTTGACTCTAGAAATATATTATCCATTGCATCCCATGAATGAGGAAAAGGATGATCAAAAGCAAATGCTGTGCTTTATTAAAGGCAACTGCTGTTAGCCCTTTATCTGAGTTACACTTCTTCAGACTTCTCCAGACCTCATCCTACTGATGATTTTAACAATTCTCACTGACTCAAACACTACCAGTAGGGAAATGAAAATCATCTACCTATCTTAAAAACCTCATCAGATAAGGGGCAAGAGGAGGAAGAGATTAAGGAAATGTAACAGAGATAACTGTGGTTGCCTTTAATTAAATTTAGTTTGCTTTTATCACCCTCTTCATCATTCACAGGCTGAAATGGGTAATATATTCCTAGATTCAAATGATGGTGTCTGAGCCTTCTTTATTTGCTGCTTGGTTGTTGTTGGGTTGTTTGTGGTTTATTTGTTTTTTGTTGGGTTTTTTTTTTTGTTTTGTTTTTTGCTAAAGATCCAGTTACATGGCATGAGACAAATGTATTCAGTTTTGATTTTATAAAGGTTTTTCAGTTTAGAATGAGGGCCCATGCCAAAAGGGGTCATGGCTGCATATAAAACAATCTTTACAAAAGATCTGGAAAACATGCTGAAAAGGAGAAATATAGCTGGGGATTCACAGGTATTCCACCATCACTTCCCTCTCACCACAGCCTTATTCTCAGCTGTGACAGTGAAAAGAATCATTTTTAACCAACATATGGGCTCAATTTCTGTCAACTCCTCTCCCACTGGTTGGCCTACCTCCCTGGAATACCTGGACAGTAGACACAGCTTGTCCTGCCTATAACCAGTCATGTTTGGCATAGCTTCCACTAGGATCAGTACCCAGTAGGCATTCCAAATAGGAATTATGAAAATGAGTGCAATTAATTTTGCAAACATAAGATCAAGTCTGGAAGTTCTCATTTAGAATTTCTCCCTTTTTTTTTTTTCCAGCACAACCTCCATCATCTTCAATTAGATTTTTGTCTAAATAAGGGCTGAGTAAAAACAGGTTCAGATTCTGATATCAGTTACATAATCGGTTACATCAGAAATTGGACCTGAATAAGGAGTTCAGGATTTGACCAATAGACAAAACACTTTTCCTGCCCCAGACAGTTTAAAAAATGTAAAACCTCTGGAAGGCAATATCACCATCATCTTGTAAGGGTTTCTATCTATCCTAATCTGGTCTCCATTACTGCCCCACACAATCTTTCACCTATTTAGCCTCACAACAGCTCTGTGAGGTAGGGAAGTGCTATATTCTCATTTTAACAGATTTTCTCATGGTCACACAAGAAATCTGTAGCTAAGCAGGGAACAGAACCCAGGCTTCCGGAGTTCCAGGCTAGTACTCTAATCACTGGACCATCCTTCCTTATTCTACTTTTGGGAGAGTCAGATTGAAAGAAAAAAGTGGTCAATGTGTCTTTACATACCCAAAGTACCTAGCAGCCTCTGAATGTAGCTACTGTAGTTTGGTTTGTCTTTTTAGAATTTTGTTTTTTTCCTTTCCATGAAAGTTTAGATCCAGAAAGCCATGTCAAAGTTGAAAGAATCTATGAGTTTTCTCCACCCACAGATTTGGATTGCTCTCAGTACGGAGAAGGCAATTTCATGCTAATAATCTTTAAGAAGTTTCAGTTAAATTTCAGATTTCAGAGTAGCAGCCATGTTAGTCTGTATTCGCAAAAAGAAGTACTTGTGACACCTTAGAGACTAAAATTTATTTGAGCATAAGCTTTAATGAGCTACAGCTCACTTCATCGGATGCATTCAGTGGAAAATACAGTGGGGAGATTTATATACATAAATTGTTTCAGATACATAAACATTGTTTCATGTTCTCTATGTATATAAATCTCCCCACTGTATTTTCCACTGAATGCATCCTATGAAGAGAGCTGTAGCTCACGAAAGCTTATGCTCAAATAAATTTGTTAGTCTCTAAGGTGCCACAAGTACTCCTTTTCTTTTTAGCTAAATTTCACAGACTCAGAGTACCGTGACTGCCTTCCAAAGGATTATTAGTGACCCATGAATGACTGCAATTGTCCCTACACATTCTGATACACTTACTAGCAGCATTGACAGTACCATGGGGCTCTAATAAACTTAAGATAATTCTTTTATTGAGAAAAAGTAAAATGAAACAAGCTTTCAAGAATCACATGCATAAGCTGTTACATAGGACCATGATGTATGATTCTAAAAGGCAATTTTTTGGGTTTAGATTTTCATTCTTTAGCATTGGAGAACTTTGTGTCCTCAATAACTATGGAATTCTTATAGCTCTGGATTTAAACCCATGCAACCTCCCTGAAATCAATGAAATTATATATGGCGCAAGTCAGGGCAGAATGTGGCCCTGAAAGTTTTAAGTAAGGTTATCAGGTAACTTTCTTGCTGGCTTCACTTCTTCTCTTATGCACTATGGATTCTCTTTGGACTCCATGCTCTTCTTTTTGAATTAAAATAAAATATTAGTTTTGGTCTTTCATAAATCCTCACATAGTATGATATCTCCCATAGATAACATATACAGTAAAATCTGTAAATGTGTTCAGATTTATAGAGACCAGGTGGGTGAAGTAATATCTTTTATTAGACCAATTTCACACAGGACCAAATACTTCTGCATTCAGTTACTTCCATGGGTCTCCCTAAAGCCATATAAAGGAACATTTTATTTTGCTCCGGGTCTTCCATGAACAAGGCCTTTATTATCATGATTATGTTGGAAACACCTGATTTATTTGCCCAGCCCTTCCAGAAGGAGCTCACATCTGTAATGTGAAGCAGGTTCAGTCTTGAACACCAGTGATTCTATTGCAGAAATACACACATATCATCACTTGGATTGCTTTTGATCCAGTCATCATGTAAGTCAGCCAGAACGTAGGAAGATTATTTTAACTCAAAAATTCAATTCACATTTTATCAGAAACATCCTACTTCATCTCAGGACAATGTCTAGATTAATTCCTACATCAGCAAAGAGAGAGAAAAAGCACAGATCAGCATTTTGTGATTATGCAGCAAGAGTACAGCTCATCAGTACAGTTATAATAAACAGGTTTCAGAGTAGCAGCCGTGTTAGTCTGTATTCGCAAAAAGAAAAGGAGTACTTGTGGCACCTTAGAGCCTAACCAATTTATTTGAGCATAAGCTTTTCTGAGCTACAGCTCACTTCATCGGATACTCCTTTTCTTTTTGCTAATATGCATCAGTTTCTTCATTTGCTTCAGTCTGCTTTTCCCTAAACAGGAGTACACTTGCTTTCCTGAGCGCTTCATTCTGATGCCACTGCTGCTGGCTTGATTTAAGAACACTGAAGTCCTTTGGGGGGCAAGGTCCTTTTGTTGTCATACGCCCCTTCGGAATTCTTTGTTCGCAGTGACCAAGAAGGCAAGGTCAGTGTGAGCCTGGTGGAAAACACGTCTCTCTGCAGTATTGCTGTTCCCCCGAAGAAACCTCTTTAGTTTTAAATCATTATGACATGAAAAAAGTGTGAGGTTTTCAACTAGACATTTATGACGGAGCTCGCCCTTGAGTGCTGCACGAGTGCACACCAGTACAGAGATTTTGGTTTGCCCCTTGGCTTTTAAACAATCCAGCTCAGCTCAGCTCAGACATTTTGAGTTAAACCAATGCGAATATACAGTAGGTCCTGTCGGCGGCCACACGGTTTCCCCTGCTCTGAAAAGCATCTGGTGCCCTCATCTACACAACTTTTCCTAACAGGTGGCTGTTCCGCCCTTGGGGAAAAAAAGTCTCTTTTCCGTGCCGTGCAGTGAGAAGCCCGTGCAAGTCCGCACCCAAAGAGCCGCACGCACCTTGCGGAGAACTCCTAACACGCACAACACGCGGAGTCCCGTCCCTCCCGCAGCGGCGCCGCCAGCTACCCAAACCCCAACCAGTGCTGCTGCCCGGGCGCGCCCCAGCTGCATTAGTAACCGCGGGCTGCGGCCGGGCCGAGGCAGCGGCCAACACACCCCTGAAACCAAGCGCCCAGGACGGAAGGAGGACGGGAGGGAGGGGACACGCTGCAGCGCCGCTAACCCGCTCCCACCTGCAGGGCTCGCCTGTGAAACACACACCCCGGCCCGCGCCCAGCCCGCAGCTCCACACAGCTCAGCCCTGGAGTTTGAAACCTGCCCGGTCGCCCCGGACAGATGCCAGGGTCCCCCGCCCGCCCCAGGGACCCCCCCAGGCGGCGGAGAGCGGCTCCCGGCCGGGGCTGGGCGCAGCCAGCAGCGGGCCAGGGCTCGGCAGCCCGGCGGCGCCCTTGGCTCCCTTCTTCCCGCTGGTCCAGGAGCCTGCCCGGGGAGGGGCAGGGGGCCCCGCGCCGCGCTCCAGCGGGAAAGTTTTCGTGCGGAGGGGAAGGGGGAAGTTCCCGGGGCCGAGGGAATGGGGGCGGGGGGGGGAGCACTTACAGCCTCCTGTCCTGCGGCTGCAGCTGCCAGTGCATGGCCAGGGAGAAGCCGAACAGGCTGCCCGGCTCCCCTTTCCGCAGGATCACATTGTCGGTGTCCAGGTTGAAGGCGGAGGCGAGGCAGGGGACGAGGGACAGGTAGAGGAGCGTCTTCCCGAGGGCCATCTGCTCTCACGGCTCCAGCCGGGGACCGAGGGGGGAGCGGAGACCTGCTCCTGCGCTGCGCCCTTCACCAGACTGCGGCTGGCGCTCCCCTCGCTGCCACACGCTGAATGAGCCCGTTGTTCTCCTGAGACTCCCAGGCTTTGCACTAAGTGACGAAGAGAGGCGAGCCCCGCCTCCCCAGCCACGCCGGGCCCCGGCCCTGCAGCCCTCAGCCTCTCCTAGCCCTGCCCTGCCTTTCTGGCCCTGCCAATCCCCCAGCCCCCGAACAGCACCGCGAGGCTCTTCCAGCCCGGTTACTACTATAAGTAACCTCTGCAACCGTCCAGGATTTAGAGCCTATCCCAGCCAATGCTTATCTGTATTGGGTCTTTTAGTCCCTGTTGCAAAGCACACACACACCCAAACTCTACATAGACCGAAGTCTTCTCTAAACTGTCTTCAGGGCACTGTAGCCTCAAACCTCCATAATAGCTGAAGAGATCTGAGATTACCTTACTCCTAATCTATCACTGTTAATAAATAGTCTGTCATTTTATCTCATGCAAATCACATTGCAAAACAGCTGCAGGGATGTTTTGTAAAGTACATACCATCCTGGAAGGGTAAAGAGTGTCAGCGGTGATTCTTACTTTGTTTGCGGTTGACTTTTGTTACTGCATCCTGCATTCATTTTCTTTTCCTAACGTACAGTTTTTAAAAACCCTACAAAAATCAGTAACGGCATAGGACAGTAGTATGTATTCTTGGCCGTTAGTATGTATTTTCTGAAAAGCAGGGGCAGGCCAAGTTTTAGCAACAAAGACCAAACAGCCCTGAATCAGGAGTGATGATGCCTGTGCTTCCATAGCATGGGTTTTTCTAGGTCTTTCATCAAAATGCAAGTATCCTTGTGATCCAAATGTTCTTACAACACGATGACGGCTTGTGATTAGAATCTACTGGATCTGAAGCTGACATGTTCAGTTTAGTCAAGTCAGTTCTGTACATGACTGGTTTGAATTGGCTTGTATTTTTTCTCCTAAACCTTTTGCCAAACCCCTATGACAACACTGCTGTGGTGGAATTATTTTGGGTGCTAGTGTATGAGCAATTGAGTCTGCTTGAAATGCCATTCAGGCAGATTTTTAAAAATATATTTCACCAAGGTCCTCATAATATAGTTACATATTTTCTTATGGTCATTGATACTATAAATATTTTTTAAAGAAAAAAGAAATCCATCTGCTACTCTTATGAAGCCCCCCCCCCCTCCAAAAATGTGCTTCTGTAGCCTGGAAACCAAAACACATACTTTGGCGGGGAAGGGGGTATTTAAACACTCTTATACTGGATCCAGAAAATAGTTTGGACAATGCTGATATGTTACATTTATTGGACCCCTCTTGCCAATGCTGTCTAGGTATTTTTTACTTGTTTACTATTAGCCATATCAATGGTGAGATGAAAAACAATTTCACATTTTCTTATTACCAGAACTAACTAATAATGAACATTCAAAAATGTAGTTACATGAAAGCCTCTCCCAGTACCAACAAATATTGATTGTTTATAAGGTGGAGCAGAGATGCACTAAAAACTTTTAGAATTACATTGGGATAGTCTCAAACAGGTGAGACATGGTGGAGGAGGTAATATTTTTTATTAGACCAACTTCTGGTTGCGAGAGACAAGCTTTCAAGCTACAGGTGGTCTATTATACAAATTTCATTTTATTTGCTTTAATATGTCCTACCGGGGGGGGGGGGGAGCGGGGAGGGGGAGAAGCAAGTTTGAAAATGTCAGTTTCCTTCTTTGTCCAAGTGGCCCATGATATTGCCGAGATTAGCCCATCTGCAGAAAAATGTTATGGGACATCTAGCAGCCAACACAAACTTCAGTACTTCTTATTTGGTCCTGTCCCAGTATAAAGGAGGATGAAAATTTGGTATGATAGCCAATTAACTTTGACCGCTATAATAATGCATAATAATGTATATAATAATGCAATGTTTCTGAAAGAAACAATAGCCATGGCTACTGTCTCAGTCAGTTCAAAGCCATGTGTCCTTTCTCTAACACATGCTCTGCCATAGCAGAATTTTCAGCTGCCTGTTTATTAATGGCATGTTGGTATTCTGCCAAATGGGCTGCAAGACATTGGCCTGCTGTGCCTACTTATTGAGGAAGCATCAGTGCCAGAAATACTCTCCTCCTCAATGTAACAATTGTTTATTTAATTATAAGAACTAATTTTTCATTTTTAGAAATGAAAGTGGAGAGCTGAAGCCAGATAAGACATTTTAGTCTATGTTCTGGAGAAACTCTAAAGAGTGATGCCTTGCATTGTTGACCCTTTATCTTTCAGATGAACAAAAACACCTTACCTTTATTTGGCATAAAAAGTAGTGTATCATTTACTGGTATACGTGGGCACACAGCTGTGTATCTTTCATGCTGCACATTTAAAATTCTTGAAAAGCAAAAATATGTAGACATATCACCTTTTCGTCCTTAAATTAAATTCAGTGTCCTTATTTATTGTATTTAATTTCAGATGGAAAATTGACCCAGGCCTACAGTACTAAAACTAGTTATAAGGTTCTCTAAATCCTTAATTGAATCAAACTTTGTGGGTTCAGAATTATACATGGAATCAACCCTTTTGAATGATTTCTTTAATGCAATGGCTTTACAATTTTTAGAATTGCTGGCTTTCCCAGACTTAGTTCAGTACAGGTGAGGCCTCTGAGCAGCTATAGCAATCAGCTGAATAGACTATTACTCTTTTGTGCACTAACACATTTTTGCTAGAATTTCCGCTACTGCTGTCTTCAGTTCTGTTCCACCCATGTTAGCACTAGTGAGCAGCAGAGTAAACAAGATGCCTGCAGCTGTTGGCATTTTAAGCAAAATGTTGTGCTCTGAGCAGATTAGATGTCATGGTGATTAAAATGCCAGTGTCTCCCTGGAGGCCTGTCTACACTAGCACTCCCACTAGTACAGCTCCACCAATTGAGTTGAATGTGTGCTAGCAAAGGAGGGGTATTTTTGCAAAAAGAAAATATTTTTTTACAATCCTAATGTAGATACCCTGGCCCAGATCTACACTGGGATTTAGGCGTTGCTACCACAGGAACACACTGAAATCCACAAAGCCTGAGTTAGATGCATAGGCTCCCTCTAAATGAATGAGAAGAAATAGGCACCTGACAATGAGATCTACAGAAGACAACATGCTAGGTAAGGAGCTGCCTAAAACAGCCAATGAGAGATGCTGACAAGAGGGATGTGTCGTAGACCCTGTTCTTCTCTCAGAGATAAGTGCCTAAATCCAGGCTGCAAGGAGGCATTTACCACTGCATAGTGAGCCACGAACAGGAACCCACCACTCGGAGTCAGGCAGATTAGGCGCTTAAGTAGCTTCTTGTGGGAATGAGTTAGGTGCTTTTCTCTCTCCAAGCAAAACTGGGTAGAGGAGGAAGGTGCCAGTGCCCAGTTTGTAACTTTTAACTCAGTGGTTAAAGCACTCATCTGGAACGCAGAGAACCCAGGTTCAATTCCCCTGTCTGCCACAGTGGGAAAAAGGGTTTTAACAGGAATCTCCCCATACCTCTCAGGAGAGTGCTCTCACCCCCGAGGAGCTACTGGATATTCTGATGTGGGGGTGTCTGTTTGAGCTGTTCCACTGTGGATAAATAACAAGAGTGATTGGGGCAGGGGTACTGTACCCTGGATCTCCTACCTCCCAGATGAATGACCTAAGCACTGGATTTCAAAGTCTCTCTCTTTCTCATTCCCACCCTACCATGACTGTTCCACTGAGACTTCAGTGAGAACAGGCATCCAAACACTGTAGAGTGAGGCAGCATAGCACCTGTGCAGAGGCAGAAACTAGGCACCCAGGAAACTTTTACACTGAAAACTTAGGCACCAAGTGAGTTTAGGTGCCTAGTGGATTTAGCAGGAATTTTGTGGATCTGGGCCTCTGTCCCTCCGGTGGGTGTGGAGAGAGATTCAAGCAGGGTATTGGACTATGAGAACCCAGAGAAAGAGGTGCAGTCTCTCCGTAAATGATGTGGCAATAAGAAATGTGTAATTAATGTAAAGCTTACTGCAAAAACATATATTTTTTAAAAGGGGCAGAATAGACTTGGTGGGGGTGGAGAGTTCAAACATCCTGAAGTTTGCCTACTGCAGCTAAATGTACAAGGGCTGTCTTGCCTCAAATGAGAAGTGCTGCTCCATTTTGGAATTATTTTGTCCCATAATACGTGGGCCATGGCTGACTAGTTTTACATTTGATCCCTGTTTGTTTGTTCGTTTGTTTGTTTGTTGGTGGAGGAATAAAATCCCAATTCAACACATTTATGAAATGAACTTGTTAAATGTTTCCAATTTTTCTTTCAATTTATCACCAACACAACTAATTATCTTGTTCATCAAAATTTAATATGCACACATAGGCCCAGAAGCAGCCCCTCTACTCCCTGTGTAGCTGGGAACAGGGAGAGGGAGCTGGTTGAAAAGGTGTCTGGAGCTCCCTGATCCTTGAAGTAGTAGGCATGGGGCTATTCCCAAGGAAAAACTTCAAGCTGCCTCAGGCTGCTCTAAGTTGCAAGATGCATAGATAGCAGTGACTCCCAAAAGTCCTTTCTTGCAGCTAGAGATCACTGCAGCACAAGAATACGCTGGCCACACTTCCTTTTCGTTGGCCATGCCTCCTATGCCTGGTACTGCAAGTAGGGTTGGCTTAAAGCCAGTTATGCTAGCTCTATCCCACTGGAGGATTCCTCTAGGCAATGGGGACCTCCAGGTGCAAAGTAGTCTTAGTGGGGATGATGATTTGGCCGCTTAGTGTTCATGTGAACGTAGAATGACTTTTACCATAATAATTTAATACATTACTACAAATATTCTTATATAAAACAACTCAGGAATAACTACAGGGCCCTGTCATTTCCAACTGAAGTCAAGAGAAAGAATCCCTTCAAAGAAAGCTGGATTAGGCTCATAGCAGACAAGGCTCAACTGCAAAGTTGACTTTTGCTAGAAACAGTCTGTGAGGGAGGGTGAGCAAAGGTAGCCTTTAACTCCCTTCACTTTCACTGGAGGCTGGGGCTGACTGCCCCCGGCATAGTTTGGAATAGCCCCAGGCCT